GGACGTGAGCTTCCGTGGATTTGCGGATCCTAGGCGGGTCCTGGGGCCAGTGAGCCACGGATGCCAAGGGACGACTGTAGTTTTTTTATCTTTAAGGAAAATGACAAGTATTTTACCCTTCAGTGCAGCAAGGCTGCAGAGAAGCCAGCTGTAGCACATGGAGCTCCAATCAAGTACGTTAAGTGATTAAATTAAGATTGTGGTCCACACATGTGCTGACTCAATGAACTGGCTCACAGAGTGGGCAGTTTATACTGTACGGAAAGCATTCTCCTTAGGATATTATTCTTCGTGACGTCAGACAGCCAGCATTTGCAATCTAACCTTCCTCTGGAAAGAGGAGAAGAGATTACAGTACTTCGTTCCTAGACAGTAGGCTTCAGGAACCAACTCAGAGATCTTCGAAGCATCTTTGCATCTCTCTGCGATTGGCTCCTATTACTGTGAACACCTTCATTAGCCCTTAATTTAGAATCACCCTTCTGGGCCCCGTGTTCCCCCCTTCAGATCCCAGCCCGTATCCTGCCAGCTCCATTAGAGGCTTCTCTGACCTTCATTGATTGCTCTCTTCTTAAAATTGCTAGAATAATTATTGCACGTATTAATTGAGTCACCCTCGACCTATTTAAGTTTTGCTCTTATTGATTTCTTTTCTCTCAGTATATAAAATACACTAATTTAAAAATACTGCTTTTTTCTGTTGGAACACTTTTATGAAATAAGCTTATTGAAATCCACAGGCATCCTTGACAGTGTCTTATTAGCGTATGTGCCCAAATAGAAGGTGAGTTTTTTTTCCCTCTGTAAAATGATCTCGTAGAGAAGAGAGAGCTGGCGTGTATTCAGGTCCTTACAAAATCTCTTAGAGAGAACATTCTCTGTGTATTCACGTGCACAAAAATGTGTGTTGAATGGAGAAGCCAAAATTACTCACATATAACCGAAATTCATAATTTTGGGGATTATTGAGCGCTCCCTTGGCAGAATTGTTTTTTAAAAAAGGAGACAATCTGGTTTAAACCAGATTTAGTTATTCCTTGGAGAGGGGTTAAAAACCTCACATTTGCAGTTGATAGAATTTTAAAGAGTAGGTAAGGGGTTTTGTTGATCAAAAATGTAGAGCCACAGAACAAATGAAAAACCAATCAGCTTTACCCAGATTCTCAGTGAAGGCATCTCCCATATTCAAAACAGTGCTGTATCTCAACTGACCTAGAAGCGAAAATGATCTCACGATGAGGAAGAACTTCACTCTGAAGAATTTAAATAGAATGGTTGCGTGAAATGTGCAAATGGGGCAAAAACTAAATATCTGAGTTAATGTATTTTACTTAATAGATAATTCAAAGTGTATGTTTCTAACTAAATTACAGTTTAAATATTAGAGACGGTCATGAGCATCTTCTCAGCATCCCTGAAAGTTAATCATTTATTTCGTCAGCTGCCTGAACAGGTTTGCTTTACTTGGAAGAGAAAATGTTTACCTGGGCAAATGGGATCGCTTGATGTTTGCTCATGCATGAGATGCGTTCTGTGTCACCCAGGACTGTAAGATCCCCGGGGAGAGGGTGGTATATTCTACGCTTAGTGCTGTCCCCAGGGCTCCAACTCTGAGAGCTTCACGCATATTGATTCTTGGACCTGCAGCCCTCGTAGCCCTGACTCGGCGTTGTTCCTGCTGAAGGGTCTCCTGAGGTTGTCCCCTCCCCTGGAGGGACCGGCCCCTTCCCTTGCCTCCACAGCCTGACCCTGTCCTGCACTCACTTCGCTAATAGCCTGTGGTGTCATCTACGCTGTAGACGCCTGCAGACAGGAATCACGTCCGATTTGTCCTAGACCTTCAGAGCTAGGGATGCGCTGGGCTCACAGGTGCCGTAGACGTTTATTAGAATGAACTGGGGTGACCACAGAGGAGCACAGGATAAGTTTCATGGCGCAGGGAACAAGTGGATTTAGGTAAAATTTTTAAAGACGTGCCGAGCTGTCTCAGCTCTCTTTACTTGCCCTCTGAATCTCAAGGACCACAACTATTTGGATTTCATAGTATTCTTCATGATTGGGACTCTAGGAACTGAATATAGGAATACTTTAAAGCACACGTAGAATCACAGACCCAGTTTTAGACATGGACCGAGGTGCTTTCTGGGGCCTGGATTGCTGATTTGAGTGGAAGTGATGGTTTCCTCGTTGCCTGCGTTGACACTACATACAGCCCTGGCCTAGGAGCTCTTTTAACCGTCTTTTAAATTTCTGATTGGCACTGTCCTGTCTCTTCTGGCCTTGTTCTCTGGCACCAGATGTGGGAGGTGAAGAGAAGCAAGTGTTATTGCCACTCGAGGACCATACGAATGAGGATTGCATAAAGCTGGAAAAACACAGAAAACTCAGGCTTCTGAGCTTTAACTAACAGAGAAGTCACTACTATTTGAAAATTAAACCCAACATGGCTTATTCCCACAAGAAGCTAAGGTGTACGTGGGTAAAGTGAACAACTCGCATATGGAGAAGACGCGGGTGGTTTCATTTCTGAGTATGGTGTCATGTCCAGTTGGCAGGTGTCTCTAAGCTGTTGTTTTCCCTCGGAAGCAATGCACTGAGACGTTCGCTGCAAGGAGACGCACTAAGGAAAGAAGAGCATCGTTATTTTAATCAAGTGCCCGCCCTGTCAATCGTTCCATTGAATTCTTACAGCAACTGTTGTACGTTTCAACTTTATTTCGAGATAATTACAGCGTCACACGTTGTAAGACATAGTACAAAGAAATCCTGTGTACTTTCACCAGTTCCCCCAGTGGTAACATCTTGCATAACTGTAGTAGCGTGTCACAACTCGGAGATCGTCATCCATGCCATCGGTTGACATTTTTCAGATGTCCTCGGTTTCACATGTGCTCGTGAGTGTGTGTGTGTGTGTGTGTGTGTATTCTGTGCAGTTCTACCACATGTGTACATTACCATTTCTTTTTCAACACGTGACGGAAACGAGGTTCAGATAAGTAATGTGAAATGCGTATAGACCTGGGGTTTGAACCTAGGTCTGTCTGTTTGATCCGAACTTCTGCATTTTTAGTAATGCTAATGATGAATGACGGTCAAAATCAATAACCCAATGGTTATTGCACTCACGATCACACTCACCATCACACTCACCATCGCTCTCACCGTCGCACTCACCGTCGCACTCACCGTCGCTCACCGTCACCCTCACCATGACTCACCGTCACACTCACCGTCACACTCACCGTCACACCATCACGCTCACCATCACACCGTCACTCTCACCATCGCACTCACCATCAATATGAAACATTGAGTACTTACCACGTGCAGGACTGTTCAAGTGTATTAACTTATTTAAACTTATTGAATCCCCCATGAACTGTACCACATAAATTATATCACAGTTGAATTAGTGTCTTTCCACCCTAATGATATTACTAAGGAATAGGTAATCATTTTTACTACTCTTGAAATCAATAATAGTGAAATGCTATGTTCTTTTTACATAATTTCATGTTTTGAATCTCTGATCTTGGCGATTGTGATTACATTACATTTGTGTGTGTGTGTGTATATATTTGTATAAAGTGAGACCTGTATCATTATACATTGACTTAGGTTGAGCTACTGTAAAAATATTTTTGCTGAATTGTAAATAAGAGCTAGTTTAGGCAGGATGCCAGGTTTTTATGAGAATAAATATAAACCACCAGGAATACTTAAGAATGCAGTTGAGAGAAGGTTTTTTTTTTTCTTTTATCCTGTCTGGAGTATTTTGGATCTTTTTGGCCAAATACAGCACAAGGAATGTTTCAGTTTGATCAAATCTCTCAAGTTTCGTATCTGACTTCCAAAGTGGTACCCATGCATGTGGTTGTGAATCGTCACTGGTTATCAGAATATTATAAGGCTTTGGAAAGATAGCAGACATGCTGATCAGAAGTCCCTAATTTATGAGTTTTCGCTGGTTAAATATCTTGTAAAGCTGTCTTTCTAATGAACAGCAGCTCTCATTCAGACCAGAAACAGCAACAGTCCCATGTGTTGTAGACCCCAGGAGGTCTCGGTGTTTTTGTAGACAGCAGACAGAAATAAAAAGAATTTTGTCCTTTTTACCTCATGGAATCCTGCTGGAAAATGAAACATGAGCTCTGAGTTGATGCTGACTTCTGCCAGGTCACCTCCCTGAAGAGTCCCGGGCAAGCACTGCTGCAGCATTTCTTGGACAGGAGTCTGCCGTCCCGGGGACGAGACGGATGGTCGGTGCAGGCTGCTCCCGGGACACTGCGCTACTGTCTGCTTGCAGGGAGCTTCCAGTGAGCGCACGCGCAACCTGCATCTGCTGCCTTGACTCTTTCCAGGGGTTCACATACCTCCAAATTAGAGTCTCATTTAGCCTAAGTGCTACGCAGTTTGTTGTTGTCATTGTTTTTTAAAAAAAAAAAAAAGCGTGGCTACAAATAATGCCACACCAAGTATGGTTTATTCTGGCTTACTTTTGGGAACTTGATTTTGGACGTTCAGTAACGCAAATGTTTTTGAAGCTATATATTATTAGGAACTCTTTGGAAACCACAAAACCATTTTAATGGACCATGCTATCAATTTTCTCTTCTAAAGAAGTTTTTCCTATTCATGACTCACTTCACTTTTTGGCTAACATTGAGGGAAATGTAAAAACGATTAAGGAAAGGAATGTATGCATTTTCTTCTTTTTTTCTTTGAAAGCTTGTACACATTTTCTGTCTCGGGTTATGTAAACTTGGAGGACTGTAAAATGACCACCGCACAAGGTAAAAACAGGCCTGTTAATACATCCGTCTTTGGAATTTAAAAATCCGAAAGCTCCCCTTCTTCTTTGGAGAAGAGTTTTGCTTGATGGCCCAGAATACAGACCCGGTAGAAGCGACACGCTCCGGCTGTCTGTTTCACACACCTCAAGCGAAATTAATGAGGTCACACTGTGCGGTGACGCTCTGTGTTTTATTTCCGTTTTATAGGTCTGTATGAGCTGCTGGCGGCTCTGCCAGCCCAGCTGCGGCCACATGTGGACAGCCAGGAAGACCTGACCTTCCTCTGGGATGTGTTTGGTGAAAAAAGCCTGCATTCGCTAGTCAAGGTAAACCATGCTGTTGTCAGATGATCTTCGCGGAAAAACATATGGAAAAATATTTTGAGCGCCATCTAGTAAACCAGAGATCAAATTGTTGCCCTCTGAAAACAAAACAGCCTTGTTCCATTTCACTGCCGGGCGTGGAAGTTGTTAAAAGGATTCCACCGAAAATACATAGATGATTTCACTTAATGGTGGTGATCTGGCTGTGCATACTGATGGAGCATGCCCGTGCTTGCCCTTGTTTAGAAAAGGAATGTGAAATAGTAGCAGGAAGGGTTAGACTCCTCATGGTCAACGTTCATGAGTTGGAATTTAACTTAAATAAATAAATGTTCGCAGCAAAAATTAGAAGGAATATATTTTCTGAGGTTCAGGATGACAGCTGTTCAGCAGCTACATTAATTTAAAATAATTTCCTCTAATAAAGTCAAGTGAAATTCTAGCAAAGCTGTTTCTTCTCCTGGCACAGCGCCACTGAAATGGAATTTTGTATATAAATACAGGGACGCTAAATAGGAATAAAAAACAGTGTGTGGGAGACCGTTTTAGCCAAGCGCCACGCCGTGGAAATGATCAGCCACCAGAAACCAGATCTTGCCACACAGCAATGCTGGGAGTGATCAGAACTCTTAAAATAGTAAGACGAGAACAAGGAACTTACTGGAAAATATGCCACTCTTGCTTCTGGAAATATGAGTTGCATTTTCTCTCTTTTAACTCAAGCTGAAAGAAATTTAGAGCCTTACTCAAGTCTGGACGAGCTGGACACGTATGCCTCAACAGTATCTGACCCCGTCCTCCATTCAGCTCGACCTGTTATGGTTGTCTGTTGTGATGAGAGGCTTTTTGACTGATGTATAGTATGTGGAAGTGAGTGACTTCTGAGGGACGGTTGCTTCACAGGACAGGACAATTCTTACTGCGTTTTTCTCTTGTCAGATTTGCTGCAGTTCGTGGGCTTCAGGCAGTGGCAGTTCTCAAGAAGTCAGCGTCTTGATGTGTGGCACTCTCCTAGCAATACATTTAAAGAGTGCTTTATTGGTTTATTTTAGTTTTTCTATAATTGCCAGGATACCTTTGTATTCTGAATAATTTTAGGTCTTTTAGTTGCTCTCTTGGGATGTGTTAGAAATGGTTTTGGGCTTATAATTGATGAAGTTTGTCACTTACTGAGGCAGTCATGAAAATATTCCTGTATTAAATGTTTGGAAGTTGGATAGTTATGGATTTGATTAGATTGATTTGATCTCTTGAGAGAAGGAATAAAACACATTTCACATGGCATCATCACTCCTTAATCAGTAAACAAACATGCCCCCCTAACAATGGATGTGTGTGTGTTTGTATTTATTTATAATGTGACTACTATCTCAGTTTCCTTGCCTATAAGATGGAAATTATAATACCTATTGACAAGGTTGTTTGTGAGTTTCAAATAAGATAGCGAAGGTCTTAGTTCTTTTTGTAGTTATATAGGTTAGGCAAATATAATTATTAAGAAAAAAATGAATTATCATAGCATGTGAAGGACCAAAAAGAATTGACAGAGATGGTTGTTATTTTTATTAATAGAATAAGACTAATGTGTAAAAAATTTTTTCGTTACACTAGTTGTTGAGTTTTCAGCATAGGTTGTTATTCCAGGTATGTGTCTGTAATTAAGTGGCTAGGAAGCAAACTCTTATCGATATCTGGTTTATAAAAACAATGCAGCAAATGAATTGATATTGCTAGTATTTTAAATAGCATAACAGCATGTGTACTGTCCCAAACGTTTTTCAGTAGTTGCCGTAAAGTGTATTTTTAAAATCAGCTTTAGTGTGTAACTCTAGTACGTCCTCCCTTTCTTAACCACTCCCCGCTCCCCACTGGGGACTCCAGGGTGTCCTCTGACTGACCCATTATGTTAGTTTTCAAGTAGGAAAGCCTAGGATGCCCTGCAGGAGGTAGGTCTCATGGGGCAGTAGTTTAAACAGCCGGGACAGCCTGCTTAGCTGGCTTCCAAGTGCCTCTACTGAAGGGTGGAGGAGAGAAGGCTTCGGCTTCTGGACGTAAATCTCAGCAGAGCAAAAGGAATTTGTTTGAAAAGAGTTGTTTTTAGACCGAATCATAATGTGCTCTGATGTTACGCTCTTTTGCCTGCAGTTGGCGCTGTTGGTATGTGGATTAGAACTGGGTGAATGTGAAACCTGATTTTATTCTAGCCCCAAATTTTCACAGTTCTCATCTTCTTTTAGGTAAAAAAGAAAGTGGTTGTTAAATCACCACACAGTTTTGAATGCAGACAACTTGCTGGTCTGATGTAAAATATACTTAAGAAGAGGTAGGTTTGGTGTCAGGGTCTGTGGCAGGTATGGCACATGCCACCGTAGGATTTTGAGCTCCACTCTGGGGGAGTACCGGAGGTTGTGAGCTTGTCGCTGGAAAAGAGCTATGATGATCCTATACTGTGTTACCTGCGGATTTCTTTTTTTAAAGAAAAACTTCTAAATAGAAAAGTTGAATAATAAAAACTCTGAGCACGAGATCCCGAAAAAGGGTTAGGCTGAGGGTGACGTCAGAAGAAAGATGGTACTGGTAGAAGACCTAGGAAATACCATACATAATGTGAGGCAAGACAAGGGTATCCATTTTCACAGGACCTAGTGAAGTTGATAGATCATCAGTCAGCGTAGAGCCACATCTTGGACCCACGTTTTGCAAATATACAGAACCATGAAGCGTGTAGTTTGTGTCTGAACCTCATTTCTAAATTTATCTCCCATCCTTGTGTTTTTTCCTACTGAGATTCCTTTACTTACCTTAAATTTTATTTTATTCAGTGGCGTTGTATGTATTTTTATAATCTGGTTTAAGTTCACTTTAGAACAAGATGTGGCTTAAAGACTTCCATAACTGTATTATATTTATTGTAAAGAAGCCTGGTAGTTTTGTTTCTTCAAGAAATTTTTGTTCTTATTTCACAATTGTGTTGGATTTCTAGGATAAGAATATCAAACTTTTAGTACCTTTTAAATAGCTGTGTATGCTTTTTCTCCCCTTTCAAATAGTTGCATACATGTATGGGGACAGGAGAAAAAAAAGGTAGCAATCTGAATTTTATCCTTTTGGGATTCGGAAGTATTTCAACAAAACACAAACAGATTATTTTCAAGAAAAATTTCCTGATGTGATTGAATTACTGTGTGTATTTCTGTGATTTCAGTGTTACAGGAGTAAGGATAAAACTCACTAGACCCTTATCACATTGCGTTACGTAGTTTTAATTTCCGATGATTGATTGCTTTGTTGGCGCTGTCTTTGTTGACGTGTTACTATGTGCCAGACACCGTGTAGGTCCCCAGGGCTAAGCTTTCCGGCAGAGCGGGTGCAGCCCCTTGTTTTCTGGCGTCTCCAGCCCCCCAGAGGGCTTGTAGATGCAGCGATGGGCAGTTGCAGCATTCCGGGGCTGCCCGTGTTTACAGCTGTTACGGGACACGCGAGGTGTCTCCCTCAGTACTGGCCTCTGAGAGGTGCTCAAGGAGGATTCGGTAGTTTAAGCTAAAACCTGCATGTTGAATCCGAGTTGCTCAGGTAAGGATTTATGCGGGAGGAGGGGGAGGTCAGGCAGAAGAAATAACTATTGTACAAACACCAGGAGGCAGGTGTGAAGCTCGCGTCTTCAGGATGGAGGCTGCCAGCTCCTCTGGGCTGCAGGTTCTCTCCTCACCCAAGTCAAGGTTGCTTCTAGCCTTGGGCAGCTATGAATAAAACTTCGCTAACCATTTGTGTGCAGGTTTTTGTGTGGGCGTTAAGTCTTCCGGTCATTTGGGTGAATGCCGAGCAGCATGATTCCTGGGTCACATGGTAAGACTGTAGCTTTCTGAGAGGCTGCCAGTCTGCCTTTCAAAGCGGCTGTACTATCCTGCGTTCCCACCCGCAGTGCCTGAGGGTTCCTGTTGTTCTGCATCCTTGTCAGCACCTGGTGGTGTCAGTTTTGTGGATGTTAGCCGTTCTGGTAAGTGTGTAATGGTGTCTCATGACTGTTTCAGTTTGCAGCTCTCTTATGTCGTGATGTGGGAGCATCTTTTCATTGCTTATTCGTCATCTGTGTATCTTCTTTGTTGGAGTGTCTATTCGGATCTTTTGTCTGTGTTTTAAATGGGTTGTTTCCCCCTTACTGTTGAGTTTTATCATTTCTTTGTCTTTCTTGGATACAAGTCTTTTATCAGATATGTGTTTTGCAAATATTTTCTCCCATTATGTGACTTGTCTTCATTTTCATAATGGTGTCTTCACAGAGCAGAAGTTTTTAATTTTAATAAAGTTCATCTTAAGTTTTCTTTCGTGGATCATGCTTTTGGAGATGTATCAGAAACTCACTGCCATACCCAGGGTCACCTAGATTTTCTCCTCTGTTATCCTCTACAATTTTTACATTTAGCTCTGTGATTGATTTTGAGTTAATTTTTGTGAAAGGTGTAACTTCTATGTTTACGTTCAAATTTTTGCATATTGAATATCCAATTTTTCTAGCATCAGTTGTTGAAAAGACCATTCTGTCTCCATTGAATTGCCTTTTCTCCTCTGTGAAAGATCAGTTGATTTTTATTGTGTGGGTCTATTTCTGGGCTCTCTATTGTGTTCCACTGATCTATTTGTCTGTTTTTTCACCAATACTACCTTCTTGATTACTGTAGCTTTTATTTTCTTTTTTTTAAATTTTTTTGGCTGTGTTGGGTCTTCGTTGCTGCGTGTGGGCTTTCTCTAGTTGTGGCGAGTGGGGGCTACTCTTCGTTGTGGTGCACGGGCTTCTCATTGCGGTGGCTTCTCTTGTTGCCGAGCACGGACTGTAGGCGCGTGGGCTTCAGTAGCTGTGGCTCGTGGGCTCCAGAGCGCAGGCTCAGTAGTTGTGGCGCACGGACTTAGTTGCTCCACGGCATGTGGGATCTTCCCGGACTAGGGCTTGAACCCGTGTCCCCTGCATTGGCAGGCGGATTCTTAACCACTGTGCCGCCAGGGAA